TAAGGCGTTTTTAGCCGAACAAAACGACCATGTTTCGTCAGGGAGGAAACATCGTATGACTTTCTGAGGGCCCCGATAACTTTTTCCCTTCAAAGTATTCATTGTTTATCGATCAACATGTCAAAACATTTCTGTTTCAAACTCCAGCAGAGGGCCCGCCAGTGGCAAGGGGAAACAATAAACCCGATTTTGCTTTCCAATGTCAGCTAACAGCAGTAAGAATCATTGTAAAATTGGACCACAAACTCGCAAGAGGCTCCCCCCCCCCGCCCGCGGGGGTGGCAAAGGCCTTTCGACCGTCGTCGACGGTGTTGACAAGGTCTTTACGAAACGTAAGGGTGCCGTCTCCTTGTGACCAATAGGAATGACAAACCTTCGACTGAAGTGGCTCTCAACTTTACAAGTACAGTCCCACCGAAAAAATACAACTCCCTGGTTACCTTTATCAGGTGCTGTCTCACCATGTTGGTCTTTGTTGTTGGGTTTATGATCCTCTGGATGAGTTGGAACTGGGAAAGTAAAATCCTTTTGCATACCTGTAAACCTCGGCTAATCGAAGTAAAATGACAGAGCCAGCTCTCGAGGGAGCGTGCCGGCTCTCATTGTTCACTTCAAAGAGGCGGCTCTTTGTACCGGCTCGTTCGCGACCGACACATCACCCGTGGGCACAATGTGTCCGGACAGCAAACCAGCGTTTAAAAAAAAAAAAAAAAGCCAATAAATGGGCAAAGGAAGGACTAGAAACAAGCAGCAATATACGTTTATTCAAGTATTTGTTCTTTATTTAAAAAAAAAAAACATAAAATATACCACAACCCTTTGTGGGATAGAGAATATCACATTAGCTTCAAATACTGCAAAACACATGATATTCGTCCGCAAAAGCCGCAGCCAGCCGCACGCGCAAAATAGGGTCAATAGCTTTTGCGATCAACAACAGATAAACGACACCGGATAGTTGCAATATCCTGCAATGCTCTCCGCAACAAATCAATTTGCCACCGGACCGCTTAAGCAAAGAGCAGCTGCTTGATTGAGGCACAGAACGACGAGAAGGGCGTCGGGAGACTAAAAAAAAAAAAAAAAAAAAAATACACATTTGAATCTCACGATTGGAGACGGCGGCACAATGACGTCGTCACAAAACTCGTCGGTAGGAGAGCGCGCTTAAGTCATTCGTGGTTTTGACTACAATCCGGATAAGCGGGAAAACCTTAAATTACTTGTCTGTTTGGGCACGTTAATTTTGTGTGTGATCGAGCAAAGGAAAGAAGAGAGGCGACCTGGTTATTGATCGGATTAGGTCAACATTATGTGAATACAAATATCGTCGAACTTGGCACATCATCGAGAATATGGAATCAAATATGGATTGCTCTTGCAGCTGAAACATCTCTACTGGGAAGACTTTCTTCAAGATTGTGGAGGCTGTCTGTCAGAATTTTGAACAAGGGCTCGTCTCACCATCTCACGCACTGGCGCTTTGGAAGAATAAACCTTCAGTCAGAAGAGCAATTCGGGTTCAGGGTCGAGTCCGGTTTACCGTCGCCAAAATGTGTTTGGTATTGATTTTGTCAATGATTATTTTGAACTGGTTATAATGTGTGGGATTGACCGAATCAATGTGACATTTTAATCATTGCGAGCGCTACAGGAAGCTCGAGAGTGTCGACTCAGCAACCGCGGGGCTCCGGTGTCTCGGCTCAAGGACACTGAGCAGGGGCGCGAGAGCTTGTCACTGTGCGGGTTTGAACCAAGGTCGCCGGCTACTTGAAACGGCATCGCCATGCAACCATGACGTCAGAAGTGAACCCTCGGAATATTTATTTGTGTCCATACTTGACCGAAGCAAATGGCAATATGAGGCTTGCGCAGACTTGGTCACATACCGTGACTGTTTTTCCCAAAATGGATCAAATGGTAATTTTCACGTACCGTATTTTCCGCACTATAAGAGACTTCAGAGTATAAGGCGCACTTGAAAAACTGTTTTCATATATAGGGAGCACCGCATTATGAGGCGCATTGAATAGAAGCCACAATAGTGGCTGCGGTTGCGTTATGCATCCACTAGATGGAGCTACACTAAAGGGAACACAATACAATACAATACAGCTTGATTTATATCGAGCTTTCGCAACCGCTGCAGCTGCGACAAAGCGCTTTACACAACATTTAAAATGCTATTGATCCATCTATAAGGCGCACCGGATTATAAGGCGCACCGTCGGCTTTTGAGACAATTGAATGCTTTTGGGTGCACCTTGTAGTGCGGAAAATACGGTAATTCGCTTTGTTGTAGTCATTCGAGCTGAACTGAAGGCAACCGGATGTTATTGTGGTGAATCTCCTTTCCAAAAACACTTCCGCTAGAAAGAGAATCTTTGGAGTCAAAGTCATTGTTGCAGAAATTTGTCTGGCGAGTGGTCGGCTTGCAAACAAATTCCGCCGCGAAGTCGATAGCCGAAAGAAAAACGGAAGAAGCCTTTTGGTGAAAAAGGTCAAATGCCTTTTCGCCGCGGAGAAAAGTCAACTTGCCTTCAATTCAACTGTCACGGATACGTTTGATTATTTGACACTTGGTTTCGTTGATAAAAAGCGAGATTTACACGGCGTGGTTCAAGTGAGGCAATTTAGATCTTCAGATCAGTCTGGTCGAAATCAAGATAAAAATAAGAAACATTTGCCAATGCGACTGTCGCGTATGCACAAAGATCTGTATCACCCAAAAGCTACACGGAAACGGACAGTCAAAAAAAAAAAAATCTTCGGAATCTGAAACTTGGACCTGCAGTTGGAAATCCGGCCTTCGAGCGTACATTATGCATCTCATCGTGAAGACAACGGATTGGTTGGCCAATAGTCCCAACGTCAAACTCCCTTTTCACATTTCTCGACAGCCTTAATGGCCAAGGCGAAGATCGAGCACCAGTTCTGTCGATCTTCAAAAGGGCAAACGTTTGAGGAAAAAAAAAAAAAATGGTGACCCGACTTTTTCTTAATACAAAGCATTTATTGACTTGCTGCGTGTGACGAATGTTCTTCCGGACCTTGACCTTGTAAAAACATTGGCTGCAAATACCAACGCTATGAATCATCTCATGTACTGACCGTTTGGTTATCACACACAAAACACACACACACAAAAGTCTTGATTGCCTCGAAGTCTGGATATCCAGACAGATGATCAAGTTGTGTGAGGTGAGTGAGTGGAGTGATTTTCCTTCCCTAATTTGTTCAGAAAAAACTCGGGACCAACAAATGTGAACGGCAAACCTGGTCCACAGTTCGGATGGCAAATCTCCCGAGCGTGGTCGACATCGAATTTGGTCGAGCCACCGACTTCCACTGAATAGTCGCGGAACTACGTCATGAACTCACGGTCAGAAAAATAAATCCAAGTCAAATGCGCGAACCTTCGTGCCGATACGGATGAATTTTATCGTTCGGTCATTCAGTACGTCACCGATGATTTTGGAGAAGGAGCAAAAGGTGAAGCGAGGACCCCCCCGCTTTGCCCTTCAACATCTCAGGTGCTTCTTGCTGGACATGTCATTCCAAATGCGGTGCATCTCCTCGGGCGAGATCTGGTGGACCGTGATGACCCGCCTGTACCTGCACAGGCTGTAGGCCATCTTCCAGTGATTAAAGCCCGTGTTCTGAAAAGGGTGGATGCCCAGCTTCCGCAAACACAAACCCACGTACACGTCCTCCAGGTGCAGCAGTCTGGTGTGTTGCGACGTCTTGAAGATGAGCTCGGCGACGTCGGAGGAGAATACGTAACCGGTGCCCGAGCAGAAGGGCGGGTACTTGCTCTCCGGGTACAAGTCTCTGGACATGTACCACTTACTGCGCATGTCCCTTATGGGGCCCCCGTGGATCACGTAGCCCGTGAAGTATCTTTTTCGCGGCTTGGTGGCGGGTTTGAGGAGCTTGTAAAGCAGGTTGTCCATGTTGACGAAGACGTCGCTGTCGGTCTTCATGACGTACTGCGCTTTGGGGCAGAAGGTGGCCACCCAGCGCATTCCCATCATCGTCTTGAGGGTGAGGTTGTGGTACGAGTCGATGAAGTCCTCCACCACGATGTCGTGGAAGATCTGGCTCTCCTGCTCCACCATCTGGTTGAGGACGTCGTCCGTATTCCTGCCCAGGAGGAAGACGGTGAGGACGCGCAGGTCGCTGAAGGCGCTCTCGTCGCCCCAGGTCTCGCGGATGGCCTGGCGGGCGTCGAACTCCTTGTGCGTGGTGCTGATGAGGATGACCAGGAAGGGGGCACCGTCTCGGCACTTGTTGGGCTCGTTGATGACGAACTCGTAGGCGTGCGCGTTGAGCGGGCGGGTGCGGATGTTGGTGAAGGTGACGTTTTTGGCGGCTTTCGCCGTCTTGCGTATGGGCAGCGACATGTGGCCCACGTAGGCGGACGTCGGCCGGGATAAACTCAAGTACCACAGGGCGCTCGCCCAGCACACCACTGTCAGGATGTAAAGGCAGGACACCTTTGAAGGCATTATGCCGCATTTAAGTGTATTCCGAGGAGCTGGATTTTAGAAGGCCATCTGTCCGTGTGCAGTCGTGTCCCACCCAGGAAGGCACCATTGAGCTGCTCCGGTGCGCACTTTGACATTAATTGTCACGAATTGATTCTTTCACAAAGGCGTGAGTGACGCTGTTTGCTTTTTAATGCAAAGCGGCTGGAAAAAAAAAATGATGGATGCCCAATTATACCTGAAAGAGAAAGGGAAACAAACATCGCGTTAATATTGGATATGTTGTACAGTCAAACCTCGGTTTTCGAACGTCTCTGTTCTCGACCAAATCAGTTTTCGACCAAAAATTTCGAGTTTTTTATGCCTCGGATTACGACCGAAAATCGGTTCTCGACCAAACTGAGCGCACTTGAATGCGCCACTTGACTTCTCTCGCCTTCCTTACACGAGGAAGTGATGCTTCCTCGGGTAGCCGAGGAAGTGACGCTTCCTTGTGTAGCGTTCCATTGTGAGCAGACGCGTTCAATAAAGATTTTGTTTTAAAAAGAGCGTGGTTTCGGTTTTCGAACAAACTGGTTTTCGAACAGCCTTCTGGAATGGATTATGGTCGAAAACCAAGGTATGACTGCATATGTAATATAGATCACACGCTGGGGGCCCAAAAAACATGCATGCTAGCTTAATGGAGCACTCAAAATCGTCCCAAGGCGGGATTGTGAGTGTGGATGTGATTGGCTGGCAACCGGTTCAGGGTGTCCCCCGCCTACTGCCCGAAGACGGCTGGGAGAGGCTCCGACACGCCCGACACCCTCGTGAGGATAAGGCGGTTCGGATCATGGATGGAAGGTCATACACCTAACAGACGTATAAATGCAACTTCTATTTTTCGTAAGCTACATCCCAAGACGAGGACTCGCTGACCATTGTCTGCTGCCAAACCAGGAGCTGCTTCGGTTGGCAATGAACGGAGTCGGCTGTGTCCACACCCACAACGGCGCAAAGTGCAGTTTTTAGATACGTGCAGATTTATGCTGCTCACTGTGCCCGGATTTACCCCGGTCACAAATATACGTAGACCAAACAAAAGTAAACTAATACGCATAATCGTGGTCGATCCTATCCAAGACTTTCCATCTCCGTGCATGCAAGCTGGCGAGTTGAATGAAATTCGTCACGTGATGTCCGCTTTTCTTCCACTCCGAAACGGCAAGTCATTGGGAATTTATGAAAAGGAGAATCATACACAGATGACAATCCACAATTCCGAAATGAAACGGAGCTGAAAAATCACTCTGAGTCGATGGCGACATAATAATGAGATGATATGAATTCCATGTAACGCCACTCAAAATGACGCTCACTATACACACACACACACAAACACACACACACACACACACACACACACACACGAGTCTCTGGATTATAATTGTCAGTAAACGAATCACGACTTTGACAAGAGAAATGAGTCGGGAAATGTTTTTTTTTTTTTTTCCACCAATGTTGTGCTGATCTGTTTTCTAGCATCGTCAACACTGAGCGCGCAACCGTCTTTTCAGCTGACACCTCAACAAAATGACTCTTATTTCCCAGAGGATTTACATAACGAAAGCGTAATTTATGACGGCGGCGCGCCGGGCTTAGTGTTTTATCAATTAGACGTGCAGGCACACATTTGCTCGTACCGGAGGTCAGACGGAGTGTAAAGACCAAGCCGGGAACTGGTTATTGGGAGGTGAATAAATGAGCATGGGAGGGAGGGTGACATGTCGTGTATTGCGCGTACACGTGCGCACAAACATGCAAAAAAAAAAAAAAGAAAAGAAAAGAAAAAAGGCCATCTGGAAGTGAGCAGCTTTGCATTTCATGTTGAAATCTTACTTCCCACACTGGGGTGTAATAATTTAAGAGACGGAGCGGAGCCAATGTTTACGTGGCAGCTCCTTTTGGGGTGCCAGCGAGTAAAACATAAAAAGCCAGTGGATTTTCGAAACAACTTTTTCAAAGCTCATCTGGGGTTTCTTATTTGCGCATGCACACACACACACTCACGCGCACACATATTTGTGAATGTTTACAGTTAGGATGGTGAAAGCTAAACTTCTCTTGTATGGATTCCTAAAAATGTTCAGACAAATCTGTCAAAAAAAAAAAAGAAAGAAAAAAATAAGGGAGAATTAACGCTTGCATGCCAGAGTGAGTTCAAAATTTATGGCAGGGGGCGCGATGTAGTTTAAATGGTAAGTGAAAAGGAAATGATTTCCCGATTGAGTGACATTTGAAATCATCTCATTCATATTTAAGGGGTCATCTGAACAAACATGTGAAAGTAAAAAGTTCAATCAAGAGTGATGGCCTCATTTGTTGTGGTGGAGAAAAAAAAAGTGCAACGTGAGAAAATCGAAAGCTGGCACAGAAAGGAAAAAAAAAATTGTGTTTTATGACGTTTCCGTTCCGATTATTTCCAATCACCTTTTTGCAGATTTTTCCCCCAAATCCTGAATCAAATTCAAATGCAAGAGTAAATTACACATTATTTATTTATTTTTATTTTTTTACAACGATCTGGTCTTGAAAGAAAGAAAATGTTCCCTTTTACTTTCCAAATTGCGTGACACCTTTTCTAAATGAAAGGCAAAAAAAAAACAAGAAACAATGCCATTCGACTTCTTTTAGAAGCATCTGTAATATAAAACCTTCCCCTGAGGCTGCAGACCGGCTCGGGCCCGTCCGCCCCCGCTGACAAGGACACCTTTTTCAGTACGGCTCCAGTTAACTTTTTTTTTTTTTCTTCTTGGGTCTGATTGTCGCTGTTTTGAGAGACGTTGAAAGGTTTTCGATGTGCGTGGCGGGAATTAAGGCCGTCGATTACTGCAGCGTTGGAGCCGAGCCTTCGGGGCAAAGCTGCTCGTTCTCGGCCGAGCTATTGTTCCAATCAGCCGCGATATTGGACGTCAAACGAGGAGTCGGTCATAAAGTCCGCGGTCGATGTTGTACTCGCATAGTACACACTCGGTGGAAAAACGCAGGATGGGATGTGGAAGGAGCGGAATAATTAGCCAAAGAGAGGCCGTTTGTCAAGTTTGATGAAAACGCAAGAGGTCGGTGTTGTAGGGAGAGGGGAATAAAAGACACGCATTCATCAACAACGTGACATTGCTTTCTTGGAGCCGTCGGCCGAACAGTTTGGTCGACCGCTTTCTAAAAAGCTTTTATTATACTCCCCGACGCACGTAACAAAAAAAAATGTTTTGATTCATGGCTGCAAGGCCATCGCTTCGACGGCCCTCCAAAGTGTTTTTCCAATAACGACGTCGCCCGCCTAATACGTGGCCACATTCAATTCAGCAAGTTCACACAAAGCTGAAAAAAAAAAAAAAATGACCCGTAGAAAAAAACCTTTCAATGACGTCGTGACCTTGATTTCACCAAAAGACGACTGTTACCTTAAATCAGGCAGTGCGCGTGGCCGTTTGGGGTTGGTTGCTGATGAAATATTTAAACTGGCGCTAGCGATGCTGTCCGTTCATGTTTCCTCCTTGTTTTTTGTTCAATCCCGGTTTGGAAGACTCGAATCTCGATCGACGGTGGGACGGAATCATGTGATGGCGAAGATTATCGCAGCACGCCACACATCAAAGCTGTTAAATGCCTGATTTATTCTTTTTTTTTTTTAATCTTCATGTATGGGGTCTGTAACAGATAATCTCTACACATTAAAAAAAAAAAATCTTACATATGTGTGTACCAGGCCTAACATGCATGTTTTTCGAAAAGTGGGAGGAAGACTCATGCCAACTTAACCCCCGAAGGCCTTGAGCTAAAATTCTAACCTCGGTATGACTTTACCCATCATTGCTTCATGAAACATGAAGGGTTGAAGTGATGAAGCCACAGATTGGTTGGCATTATTGTTCATGTGTGCGCGCGTGTTATACAGTGATGCGATCCCACGTGGCGAGGTGGCGTGCGTAGGCAGTGCGGTGGTGAGAATGTGGATAAAGTTCAACGCATCAGTGCCGTGTTTATCTTGCAATAAACTGTTATTCTGCAAACTTTTTTGTGTTGTTGACGTTGTTTCGTAAGAAAGCATTGTTTAGATATTTGAGGGATCACAAATGCAAAAGAAATAGCATCGGCTTGAAATGCATCCACTCACAAAAAAGCTCGTTTTCTCATGTTCAACTGCTGTTTGCAAAAGAATGGTAATAGGTAGAAATGTACTTTTTTTTTTTTTCCTGAGGAAAGAAGAGCGTTAAAGCTTTATTTTGGTTTGCTACAGAACTCAATTTTGTGTAGGCCTTCAAAAATTAGTCCAATGTTCCAAAATGGCTGGCATCGGACTCTCCCAATTTGAGAAAAATGGCGGACATTGAATGAGTTAAGTCGTGGTTTAGTTGCCTAAACTTTTTTTGCAACTCAGATTAATTTCTTGCTCGTGTTTGTTCCAAAAAAAAAAAAAAAAAAATCAAAAATCTAAATTGTTTCATCCCTATTTGTCAACTGTGCTGTCCAGCTTTTCTGCACAAACCTGCAACTGGAAACAGAATGATCAGAACAGCGTTAGATGAAGGCGAGTGATCGGAAACGCTAATTATAATCGAGGCGTCTCGTCGTCTACTCTACTTTTTTTTTTTTTTTTTTTTTTTTTTTTTTATGTAAAAACCTCATGAGAAGACGTTCGCAGAAGCGTTTCCAGCGTCATATCCAGCAGTCAGGTAGTCATTAGAGAGACAGATGGTGCCGCGGATGATTGGACTCTCCACTGACCTATTTGAATGTGCTTTTTTTTTTTTTTCTCTCGCTCTCTTTACTGCTACGCTATGTCAAAGAGTCGTCAGAAATGCAAAATACGTTTCGGTAATCTGCAGGAATCTTACTGGGCTAACGGCAGTGAGCTTCTTAAGCGGCTCCACCGGGCTTGTGAATTACTCGCCGATAAAAGCGCCAGGCAAGGTTTCTTATGACGCAAAGCCGCATAACCAACTTTGGGCCGTCGCGTACGTGGCAAAACGCAATTCCGCACGCGGCGAGACGGATGTCAGGCGAAATGAAAACGTCAAAGAAAGTAAAGCGCAACTGAGCTTCGAAAGGTAATAAAAAAAAAGGGAGCGAATAAACGTGAGATCAGGAAAAGGGGAAGGAGACGGCGGCGGAGTCGGCATGTGACAAAATGATGCCTGGTGTGTGGAGTGCAAGTTTGTCTCGTGGGGTCTTGCAAAGAAAGCTGCTTCGTCT